TTCGACGACGGATACATATATAACATTACAATACGTAAGAAGACATTTTTTTAATAATTAATTTTAACTTTAATATGCAAATTCTCATTAGCACTAAGATATTAAATAGATGTGTGCTGAATTTTTGTAAATAGATAATGTAAATGAAGGAGCGCTTAAAGCGTTCGAATTAGCCCATTGCTTAATCGATGAAAGTGGCGTTTTAATCCTACCTGCGGATATGTTAATTCGAGCTTTAATAATCGCTAGTCCCGACAACATAATGTTGATGTATGCTATAAGAGATCCATTTTACAAATAGGCTAACATCAACTCGTTTAAAGTCGGGCGAAATTCTGTCATATTCAGGGGACACTTATACGCTTATATCGCTAGGGACGTCCTTTCGGGGTGCGGACTTGTATGATAAATTGTCAGCTCAAGGAACATTTTCTCACGCTCACCTCAATCATTTCTTTATTACGATATTGATACTTTAAAGGGTTAGAAAATTAAATTCCGCCGTTTCAATTTCCTTTTGCCGACCGATCATGCTCCATGACTTTTCATCTTCTTCTTATATTTCTCATGTGCCCTTTTGTTGTTTTCTGTCTTCTTTCTTTCTTTCTTTTTCTTTTTTTTTTCTTTCTTTTTTTTTTTTTTTTTTTTTTTTTTTTTTTTTTTTTTTTTTTTTACTATTTTATTGTATATAGCACTTACGGTCGTGTCTTGATTTATGTCCACTTAAACTTAAAAATGTTATAATTACTTCAACTGACTCGCACCTACTTCCCTTAACTAATTGCATTTGTTAGCGGGACTCGTGGCTCGATTAAATATTTTTTCAGTAGCGTTGTGGGCAGCGTGAGTAACGTAGTCGCGCGCGTTAGCCTTAATATATATATATATATATATATAAAATAAATAAATAAATAAAAAAAATAAAAAATCACGTTTTCCACGTAATCGCGGCTCTTCATGTTTTTCTTTCTTGTCATTTCATTTTTTTTGTTTTTAAACGAAGAAAGCTGCTACCCATCAACTCGTTAAAGCCCAAGTTTTTCGTACTAGCTAAAATATTCCGACTATGTATGCAGCCAGTTGGAATGGGAAAATGCAATGAAAATGAACCGAGCGCGAGTGGCTTTGGCTAAATAAAAAAAAAAACAAAAACAAAAACAAAAACAAGAAGAAGAAGAAGAAAAAGAAGAAGAAGAAAAAAAGCTTCGGAGCTATGTCCTTTGAAGGAGCGCGAAAAAGAGCCAGAGGGGAAAGAGCGAAAGTCGCGTTTGGTGATTGAAAAGTACAGGTCTGAATGAAGTAAGTACATATGAAACGTGATTTAAGTAAATTGCGCTCGAGTAGATTTCTCGGTGCGGAGCGAAATACGGTACATGCGACGCGGTTAGAACGTGCCTCGGCGGCCCCCCCAGGAGCTCCTAATTGGAGTAGGAAAGAGAACGAAAACGAAAACGAGACGAGAAGGAGAAGACGGCTCGAGTAGCGAGAGCGAGCTGCCAAGTAGGCGAGCGCTGCCGAGTGAGCAAGAGGGACCTAAGCGTCTCCGGGCTTAAAGGGAGTAGCGTTGGGGCGAGGGGCGGGAGGAGGGGGCCGACGTGGTCGCCGACGGGACGACGAGGTGGGGGTGGGAGAGAGGCGGCAGCAGCAACAGCACTACATAAACGCGCCTATTTGTCCATTATTCCAGATTCTCTTTGTCTTCGTTAATGAAACAATGAGTCTGCGCCGTAATTGCGTCATACCCGAGGCACCGTCTGTCTACATGTGCTGCGCAACCCGCTTCCCTCCTGCCGAGGTCGGCCTCAATAAACCATTACACCAAATCGCTCGATCCTTAACGCCTTTCTTCTTCGTGCCCTCGGAGCTAGAGCTGCCACTGGTCCCGCGATCCTTTGACTCTCGTTCCTACTCTTACGTAACGCGCGATCAATTATTTACGACCTCGTCGCGCTCCGCTCTCCTAATTATCCGCCAACATTAAATAAGCTCGCGTGCTGCGTTATTATCTCTCGCGCGAATGCTCAAATGTCCTGAAAAATTACGGACAAAGGCTAAATGATAATTTGAGGAAGGAGGACAACGGCGACTACGACGACGACGACGACGACGACATTATTTATTAACAATATTGCAGTGCTGTATTTGTTTAAAATAATCATTTAAACTGACGAATGCCGATTAATTATGGATGTTGTTCGTCGCTCGGAAATTATCAAGAATTGGTCAAAAACTGCATTTTAATGCTCGGCGAGATATAAACCTCTGTACACACGCGTGCGTGTGTGTGTGTATGTGTTTTTTTTTTTTTTTTTTTTTTTTTTTACCGCGACACACCAAAACTCCACTGCCGGCTGATTTAAAAATCGCTTAATGCAATGAAGGCGAAGCGAGGGTGCGAGGGAGGAGTAAGGGGATACGGATCAAACGAATATCATAGGGGGTGTTGGGGCATTTCAACGTACACCACGCGACATGTACACTGAAATTTAATTTCACTATTAAGCGAACAGCGTATCCCGAAAAATATAGATAAGAGCAATCCAGTAGCCATATTCGAATGAATGGCTAATTCTTGTTGAAATGGTTAATAGACACCCAACACGTAATCGATACCCTTGCTCCCTTGTAACATTTTGTAATTTTATCCAATATCTCGTAGTTGTATAATGTATGTTTGGATCTAACCACTACAGCTAACGGAAAAAAATGCACAAATATTAATGCCAAACAAATGATATCTGCAACATAGAAGAACGAAAAATAATGATAAGTGTTTACAGATCGATGCCAAAATGTTTTTCAATTGCAACTCCTCTAATAGAATTGTAACTGCGTGCCGATAATGCTTCTCGTGTTTCACGCTTCTCAACGTAAACGCATAGACTTTTTATGTAATTATACTTTGTATGTGTAAATTTGAAGTGATAGTTTCATTCGCTTTATGAATTTTAGTAATTTATTATAGAATTACAGTTTTAAAGTTACAAACTGGTACTTTATCGTTTTCTCTCTTCCCTTCATTACTTCTCTTCAGCATACCTTTTATCTCTAATTAACTTACTTATTTTTCATTCGCGATTCCTCGATGTTATTTTATTATTGAATCCTTTTTTAATTCTCAAATATATTTAATTCAAAATAAAAAAGAATTATTATTTACTAGGTATATTAATGCAATTGAAACAGAAAGAAACATTTTACAATTTTGAATTGTCAATATGCTAATTATAACAATGGATAAATGTGTAAATTAGTTTAAAGGTATTTTACGCATTTTCTGACAAAAAGGCATGAACGAACAGTGTCAAACATTCATTATATTTCAAAATAAAAAGAAAAAAAAGAAAAAAAAGAATAGTATTGTTTAAAAATAGTGATATTATAATGTAAGTGTACAAATAGCAAAAATTTTAAACTAACATTTACAAAAACATTGTACTATCAGTAAAAAGAAGCAATGTTGTACTTACAATGTACATAATTGTTCTTGATTTTATAAGCTTAATAAGAATCATGAAAAATAAAATGGTAAAATCAGAAAAAGCAGAGACTGAGAGAGAGAGAGAGAGAGAGAGAGAGAGAGAGAGAGAGAGAACGAGTGATTTCGATTTAGATTTATTCTGTAGAAAGGGAATGATAGGTAATTGATGTGTAGGAGAAAAGTAGCGTAGTAGAAGGGAAAAAGAAAAATAGAGAAGGAGAGAAGGAGAGAGCACGAGAGAGAGAGAGAGAGAGAGAGAGAGAGAGAGAGAAAGAGAGAGCAACAATCTGGCGAATTACCGGCTTAGTTCGTCAGAAGATTACGTCAGGTCGAGGGTGTCAGCGAGACCCTCGGGGCCTGGGTCCTTGTTCTCACGCTTGCCCATGAGGCACAAGCTGCTACTTTTCCCTTTCGCTCTCTTCCCTTCTTTACTTCCATCATACCGATGCTCCGTTAGCTACATCTACCGACTTTGCTCAAAGAAAAATAAATCATCCGTGATCGTATATGAAGTCGAGATATAGATTTTATATAAATGTATCACTTGGGATTACTTAACGAATAATCACGGACAAAAATTCATCCATAAAATTTAATGTTCAATTGCTAAGGTTCAATTCCGTTTGCGGCTTTATTTACATTTATAACTCTAAACTTCTATCTCATTCACAATACTCATAATTATATAAAAGATGCAATGTTGACATAATCTATGGCAATTTCCTTATATATCGGTAAATGTTGTTGCATCAAATAACGTGAGACGTAATCATAAAATGTTCCATTACTTACGAAGTTTATGAAGTGTGACATAATAAGACTCGACCTGTCAAGGGCTCGAAAAGAGTACTTACGGTATCATCTCCGTTAGCTTGTTTCATGTTAATTATGTCAAAAAAAAAAAAAAGAAAAAAAGAAAATTGTACATCTGTTTTTACAATTAAGCATAAAAACAAATATGACGGAATGTAAAATAATTAAATCTTCGCATTCTCATTTTGTAAATATTTCCAAGACTTGATCTATTTCAATCAAATATTACAACGAACAAACAAACAAAAGAAAAAAGAAAAAAGAAAAAAGGTAATTCTTAATGATATTAAAATTAAATTCATATTCATATTGTTAAAAAAAAGAAAAAGAAAAAGAAAAAAAGAGAGAGAAAAAAAGAGTTGAAAGTAATATTTTATACGACGCAGATTAAACAAAAATTTATTATTCAATAATATAGGACTGATAATTTTATGGCATAAGTTTTACCAACAATATTTACGAAATTTTTATATATTATATATTTTTATTAAAATAGAACTTTTGAAACTGTTCATATGATTTATATTATAATTTACAAATGCGATTATAATAATATAGCCAAAAAGTATATATAAATGTGTGCGTGCGCGCGTGCGCGCGTGCGTGCGTCCGTGTGCGCGTCTGTGTGTACATATATATATATATTGAGAAAGATTGAGATAAAGATTGAGAAAGACATAATGAAATAAAGATTTTCCTCATTTACCTGAACTCTAGCTTCGGTTAAATTAATTTTCATTGCAAGATCCTCCCTTGTAAAGACATCTGGATAATGAGTCTGAACAAAAGCAGACTCGAGCTCCTCTAGTTGCTGTAACGTAAATGTTGTTCTGTTTCTCCGTTGTTTTCTCCTAACAAACGAATCTTCTCCAACGCCGTGAAGCGCTGGATGATAAGCAGAATAACTTGCGTCTAAAACAAATTTATTGAAATCTTCATTTTCCATTAGCATATGTATGTAGCGAAAAAATATAATTAATAATTGTATGTTTGCTTGATTTTAACGAAGGCATTCAATTTATTGAATTGCTTGTAATTGAGTAATTGAGTTAATTATCATATATCATGTATCATATATCAATAGATATTATATATTAATCTTTTAATTTTACTGAAATCTTCTCAATGGCCTGGTACATGGGCATGGCTTTTAAACGATAACATTAATATGCTACGATAATTTCATATTCTCCAATATTTAATATACTAAACAAGATTTAAAGTAAACTTTCGGTTTAAAACTGCAATGATTCTATAATTGCAATTATATATAAGAAAGTTTTATATCAAAAGTCAAAAGTTTTTGAATGCTACCCAAGAGTTAAAAATAATAATATTTCAGCATTCACTGATTCCTATTCATAATTCATCGATTAACACTGATGATTGAATAACGTCATAAAACATTATTATTAAGAGAAAGTACATGAGAACTCCTGATATATGCAATAAAACCTTCTCCTGATTCTATAAATAATTTCAATATAATCTTACTAGTTTTTTTATCTATTTTTTTTGTTTTGTTTCTTACAATTATTTAAACTATTTTATCCCCTTTTATACTTGCATTTGTTATTATGATTACGATTTTCAAATGAAATTTTTCATCGATTTATCATTAAAATGCGTGGATTTATTTTTATTGTTTATCACTTAATTCAATGTATAAAATATAAATAAATAAAATATCAATTTTTCGATGACATTTAATGATCTAAAGACTAAAATAATTAGTTTTATTAAAATATATTTAACACATCTGTTCAGTTGATTGTTATTGATCGATTGATCAATGTTCGATCGATCGATTGATCAATATTAAAAAAAAAAATTTATTACCCTATAATGTTTAATTCACTTAATGTATCCAAAGTGAGATTTAATAAATTTAATATATCTCATGCGCATCAATAGTTTTGACAATTTTATATATATTTTTTTCTTTTTATACTTGTAGTACGCAATCTAAAAAGATCTTAAGGTGTGCTTTTAAATTTTAGAAATACGTTACTTTATATTGGGTAGTTAAAACAAGTTATAGTTATTTTACAACCTGTAAATTTGATTATTTGTAAATCTCATAAACAGTCAAATGCGAGCCAATAATTAGACGAAATATTGACTTCCATAATATTCATTTAACTTCTGAAATTGTTTGGCAAATCTTTAATGGTTTATTTATACAATTTATATGTTCGATATCAATATAAATTATACCTAGCGAATAACGTTAGAGGAATAATTATAATTTAATTACTCACTATGAGATTAGAAAAATAATCAAATTTTCACGTATTCTAATTACTCGAATGGACCATACTCCACAAATAGAGTGAGTGGACTATTGTATTTATAAAATTAATGTGTGTTACTCAATATATATTTATTATTATCGCATTATAAGTAATTATTTATGGGTATTAATTTCTATCAATCTACAATTATATAAAAAATATTACAATGTATTACTGAAAAAATATTAATGTCATTTGAAGTTTATGTTTTTTTTATAATTTTTAAATTATTCAAGATTTTTGTTTTTTTTTTTTTTGAAATGAACTTTTAGAATATATATATATATATATATATATATATATATATATTACAAATACAATATAATTAGAAGTGTATTAAAATGTTACTATATATTACCAAAAACTATATATTCCAAAACCAAAACTGAATCGTATAATTTCAATACAAATTTATATATTCTCCGCAATAACTAATTCCTGACATTCTGTTATCGCGATGATAATATCATTACTATTACGATATGTCTAACGTTCTTACACGATTCACACAATTATATACAATAGCTTAATGTAATATATCATATAGTATTAAACGACATAAGATATACTTGCATAAATCGAATTTATTTATATGCTGACTAACTTAACAAAAATACGTGTAAATCGTGTTACTAGAAATATGTATCTAATCACTTGTTTTTTACTTATTATCAATTTTCCTTTAAAGCAACGAATTTTTAACAAATACGTTAGACTTAAAATATCATGTTTAATTATCAGCGTTTATTTGTTAATATAGTTTTATAATTATCGGTACGAAAACAAAATAGCCCGCAAGAAATTTATTTTACGTATATTAATGAAAAATACATCAATAACCTGATCAATGTGGTAAAACAATTAAGGCCAATTGAGTTCCGTTCGGTTCGATATTTCTTTTATGTATGCGCCTTGATGCATCGAATATAAAGAGGCGATTCGAATTAATTATTTCACTTGATGAATCTATTGATATTCAAGAATTAAATATAATTAAACGTTCATAATTACAAGATAATTTTAAATGCATATTGAAAACTTTTAATACTTGGCTTGTATACAAAATTCTTTATTAATAAGCTAAATATTAGATTCGTTTATACGATGCTTGAATGAAACAATTAATTGTTTCATCAATATACATATTTTCAGAGAGTATTCTTACGATAATGTATAAAAAAGAAATATATATATATATATATATATATATCGTATTAAAGGAATTAAAATATAAAAAAATAATCCAGTCGCTTATATTTTAATTTTGATAAAATTCCGCACATTTTAATCATTTTAATATCGTATTTGTTAGATGTTGAAGAAGATGTTGCAACAAGTACATAGATTATCGACAACTAAATTATATGCTTAAGGAAAAAATTGTGTTAAGTTAGCGAGTATGATGATTGTAAATAATTTTAAAATGAAACAAATGAATAAATTACATTTGTAAGTAATGGGGGTAGATGTGATATAAAGTGATTATGAAATGAAATTTTTAGTAAACAGACTATAAAACGAAGCAAGATATTTCAAGAATTTTCGTCGAGAGATGTAAGATCGTAAAATACGGGATATTTTACTACTCGAGTCGGTAATATAGCAAATATTAATGGCCAAGAATAGAAATATTTTACGATCAGCTATAATTCGAGCTACGATATTCAAAAACATTCTATTGAATTCTTATTAAGAATTGATCAAAGTTCATTTTGCAAATGATACGATTTGCTAAATAACGAGTATTTTAAATGTACATTAGACATTATTGAACAAATTATCAAAGTGTGAAACAAAAAATTTCTTTTATAAGTAATTAAATGTATAGATAAAGTTATGGACGTTTGCTATCGAATAGATTTGCTTTATTTTCACAAAGATGAACATATAGATAGATAGATTGATTGATAGAGAGAGAGAGAGAGAGAGAGAGAGAGAGAGAGAGAGAGAGAGAGAGAGAGAGAGAGAGAGAGATGGAAAAATAAACCGAGTATACTACTGATCTATTTATTATTTTTTTATTTTTTTTTTCCAATGTCTAAAATCTATAAGCACACATATGCAAATACTATTATTTGAAATTCATATAAGTATATTAAACGTGATTTAATATTAATCTTGAAATTGATTGATTAGTTTGTGCATAATAGTGTGCCCTAGATTAAATTAAAATTGAGTTCAATCTCATTGACCCATGTTACTATAACAAATAATTCTTAGTAAACATTCTTAGTGAGAATGTTTAAGAAATCATCCGAACAGTAAGTATCATCACATATCTGATAAATAAATCAAAGATTGTATAAAATTCAATATAATTCATTACGAATCGATTTATAACGATATATAACTCTAAATAATTTTTCAACTTGTTTACGCAATGTATTATATATTCTAATTAAGTTATCAATGAATTAAAATTAAAAGAAGAAAGAAAAAAGGCTCAACTAAAATTAAAAATAACTTGATTTTCTAATATGAAAGTCATATATTCATGCCCAATAGACTAGAATCTTAGTAGAAGATCGTTACATCAAGTGAATCTCTATGGTAGAGTACGTGTGTAACCAATTGCCGGCTACTCCTATCATTCGCGTCACTTAATCTTACTAAACAAACGTGTACTCGATGTCTACTTGTTGCGACGGTACTAGAGATTCCCATCCTGACTGCGTTTCTGATTTATACGAAAGGGGTAAGATCAAGGAGACGTGCTCGCGCAGATAAGTGTGTACTCTGTCGTCATACGATACTAAGTAAAATCTGACTATCGCTTATGCTAGTCGTGACAAATAAAATTCATAGTGTAATAGCAAACTGAGACTTAAATAATTATTTGTAATTTTTATTAATTTACAAATAATTTTTATTTGTAATTTATTTTGTAATTATTTGAAAATTAAATTCACCGATTTCTCTATAATATTTCAAATTAAGAATAATTTGTTTGAGAATAAAAAAATAATTTTAATACAATTAACCCAATTAGCTCGAATATTTATTAACAAATCTAATATGCGCGCTTAATGTAAAAAGTGCAATGGGTAGTAACAATATTGATGATAGAAGCCATTGAATAAATTACATTCGTATGCTTGTACAGGCAATGTGGAATGAAATATATAATTAAATGTAATCAATGTATTAAAAATATCTTACAAAAATATAAAGTTTATTATTTTTCATGCAAATTCACATGTATAATAGAAAGTATAGAAAAATTGCAATATATAGTCACTTTTTATTTATTAACACGAATAAATAAATTTATTTAATTTAATTGACTGGTGCAGAGTTGAACTGTCAACGTATCGATAATACACATCGAATGAATGAAAAATCAGAATTTAAATCAAACTTTTGAAATCGTAAAATACAAATGAATTATGCATTTTTAAAATAACCATTGAACTTGAAGCGCGCTAAAAGGGAGAGAGAGAGAGAGAGAGAGAGAGAGAGAGAGAGAAACAAAGAAAAAGTAATACGTGAATTATATGGATTTTTACGCGATTATGGCCAAATAAAGTATTTACATTTTATACTTAAAATAATCATATTGTTCTCCCACAAATTTTACAACAATTAAAAATTAATTGACATTTAATGAAACGAATTGAAATTGTTAAATTAATCAGATTGCAGAATCATAAATTTTGCCATATTTTTCCATAAAATCTGACAACATATGCATAGAATGAGAAAATGAAGTGCAGCAAGGAATTGAGAGACAGGGACAATGCGATTGGCTAATAGAGAGCGAGATACAGCGAGAGAAAGAGATGAGAGCATTCGCCTGCAAAGCCTGGCACTGTTCATTAATGATGCAGAGCAATCAGCCCAATTAATTACCGGAGCGCTAAACCCTGCTTAACGAAAAACACAAATTAATTTCCTAAACTTTTAAAAATTGACGAAGCTTGTAGTAACGCTCGCACAGCGCTACAGAAATCTGACAATTGTAAAGACGCATTAACGTATGATTTTAATTAATTAGCTTTATTCATGTAATTTCTGACATTTTTACGATAAACAACAATTTAATCCAGTTTTTCTCTCATTTTTTTTTTTTTTTTTTTTTTTTTTTTTTTTTGCTTTTTTTTGGTTTTTTTCTTTTTACCATAAAACAAAAAATTTTTGTATCCCGATCCATTGGATTTGCAATTTTTATTTATATATTTTATATTAATGTTTACGGTAGAAATATCTTCAATAGGAACGATAGAGTTTCGTTACATTATATACATGAAATTACCCAATGTGGCAATATTTAATCAAGAAAATATGAATATAAGATTGTAGGCGCATTGCGCCATTTAAACGTAATTTTTCCAGTAAGCGGACCAATAAGAATAAGCTGAGCTTACAATGAAATAACTATTTCCGATATTTTTACAATAATAATGAAAATTTTAAATAACTTTTTAAGCAATCCGTCCTCCACCGTCGCCACCGTAAGATTCGTTTAAAGTAAAATTCATTTTCTCTACGTAAAAATGAATAGGATTGCGTCAAATTGAAATAAACGTAAAAAGCGAATGTTGTATGTATTAAACGGGACAGGGAAAAATATGGGGAAGGGTGCTTGCTGCTACTGCTGCTGCTGCTGCTGCTGCTGCTGCTGCTGCTGCTGCTGCTGCTGCTGCTTTATTTTGTGAAATTTATCGCCTTAGCTCGGTGAATTTTAAGTGCGTAAGAGAACTCGAAAGTTCACTTTAAATATTCGTCGATCGCCAGGCTCTCGATTATAAGCATCTAAAAAATAGTTATTAAATATATGGAATTCTTTAAATGACTTTTCCGTTGTCTTAAACGCTATTACTTGCTATTAATATAAATAAATATATAAATAAATATATATATATATATATATATATATATATAATAATAATAATAATTATGTGGCTCGGGTAGCTCGGAATTGATGAATAGCCCGAACGGATTATCCAAGAGCCGAAGAAAATTTTCATCGAGTCGCAGCCTAAGCGGTCCGCTATAATAAAAAAAATCCGTCTCCCTGGTATATCATTTAAGAGAAGGAAGATTAATCGGGGATTGGACTGTTGGTGGTGGGGCAGGAATTAGCAAAGCGTCGTGGAATTGAAAGGCGCTTGGCTATGAATTGCCCATCAGGGCCGCGCATCCGGTGATGTCGAGCCTTGGAGAATCTCGCGGTCGGAGGATGGATGGAACCGGCGAGCGTCGGGAGTTGCTGGCGTTCGATCCAACTAATCACGTATTTGGCAACAGTCGGATGAAATGAAAAGTAACGGTCGTCGTCCGTAGTAGAAAACAACATCAATTATCGATTGGTCGAGCGGTGGCGCGTCGGACTCATAAATAAATTTGTCGAAGTTGGGAATCCACTCAAGATCCTGGATTAGAGTCGGCGAAAGTAAAGCCTCGGCTCGGTCTGCGAGTCATCCTCGCGCGCAGATCCAATTTATTAGCCGTGGCCGGGCTGCTTTTTGCGCTTGCCACGCGGGTTCGGGCGCATCGTCCTCCGGCCGAACGGAATCTAATGAGAGCGCGAGCACCACTAATGAGGATAACGAGGTAGTTAGATGTCGAGGCGAATTTCGGTGGGGACGAAATTCGCTTGAGCGAGCGGCCGTCCTGCAGGCTCGAGTGAGCCACTTAGCGACTTATCACGTAGTTACCTAATCTGTTTATCCCCACAAGAGCAAGAGCAAGAGCAAAAGCAAGTAAGCGAGAGAGCAAGTGAGTAAGAGAGACAAATATAGAGAGAAAGAGAGAGAGAGAGAGAGAGAGAGAGAGAGAGAGCGCGAACGATCGACATGGAGAGGTTGAGGAGGGTGACGGCCGTGTGTCCCGGGGGCCGTCTTTGGCGGGGCACAGCTGTGTATGAGAGCCCGTGTTACTGTCGCCTCCCTTCTCTCTCTCTCTCTCTCTCTCTCTCTCTCTCTCCCCCTCTCTATACTTGTCTCTCTGTATCTTTCTCCCCCCCCCATCCACCTCTGTATCTCTATCGCTGCCTCTCTATCGCTATCTGTCTGTTATTCCTCAATTACAAGCATTAATGTAAACTGCAGCCTTATCGGCCGTCGTGACTGTACTTACAAGGATGCGTCGGGGCGAAAGGATACTCGAGCGATGGAGGGAGTCTCGGGGCCGGCAGACCCGAGGGGCAATGGTAGCAGAACATCCCTCCGGCCCTCGGAGCCGCCCCCGTGCCGGCCCCCGGTCCTCCGCCCAGTTGCTGCTGCTCCGGCTGAGGCTGTTGCTGAGAACGCTGCTGCTGTTGTTGCTGCTGTTGCTGCTGCTGTTGAGCATGAACTGACCCGATCTGAAACGTCAGTCAAATATCAGTCGATAAATATCATTAAGTTACAGAAGATCGGGGTAGTCGCCCTCAAATTATGCGCTAGACCGTAACTAGCGGACTCGTTTTGCTTTTAATAACATTGTCCCGCGCACCCTTTCTAACCTTAACATGGATTTTCAATTAGCAACAAGGCATTCTAATGCGGACGTAATTAGTTTGTGATATTTTAGAGAATCATGAAAGGGAATGTACCGTTGTTTGATACGATATGTATCTATCACGATGCAAATTGATATTAGAAATAGTGCAACGTATTGGTCGTAAGTTTTTACTGGGTAGGATAGGGGAGGGGGGGCAGTGGGTGAGGGATTTTTCTCGTCGAGGCACAACTGGGAAGAATTTTATATAAAAAAAAGGTTCGAGAGCTCGATGCGCGGGATAGATTCAGCCGCTTCCTTGAAGGACCCCGCGTTAGGCTCGCGATATGTCCATCGCTTATCCTCTATGCGTCATGTGGGTGGTGGTGGGGTGGGGGGGGTG